ATATGTATAGCTGATTCACTTTGTTATACAGCAGAAACTAACACACTGTTGTAAAGCAATTATACTCCAATAAAGATGTTAAAAAATAAAAATAAAGAAATCAAATATGGAGCTAAAATTATCAGACCACTGCAGAGCTCAGATCTCTGCCACCTGGGTAGTGAGATTTGTGTTTTAAAGACTTAGACCAAATAGATTATGACAATGATCAATCAACTATTAATAACGCAAGGCTCAGGTTTTTTCTATCCCTTTCTTTCTCTCACACACATCAAACGAGAAAAACATCGCCCTGTCTAAATAACCACTCCCCCAAATCACCCAATTGATTTGTAAACACTAAGAAGAACCAAAACTCGGTATTGCTCTAAGGAGCAGCAGGTTCAATGCCACATTCTACCCCACAGCTTTTGAACCTATAAGAAGGTCTCTAGAGAAGTGGTAAAGTTAGTTGGAGGGATAATGTCAGGGTATGATATTCAGTAATGGCTTGATAATGTTTCTCTTCCTAACAGGCAAGATGAGCAATGAGTTAAAACAGGAGGCACTTGCTTGGTGCCAAAGGTTAAAAAAAAAAAAGGAAAGGAAAGAAGGAAGCAAGGGAGAAAAAAGAAAGAAAGAAAGAAAGAAAGAGAGAGAGAGAGAGAGAGAGAGAGAAAGAAAGAAAGAAAAGAAGAAAAAGAAACCTAAAACAGAAAAAGAAAAGAAATTCAATTCCCTTTCCCCAGCTAAATAAAAACTCTAGGTTTTATAACCCTATGACCTAGAGATAGTCAAAGAAATCATACAGAATGTTCCTGAGGAGAAAGGGACCTCAACTCTCAGCTGCTCAGCCAACTTTTTGGCTTAGAAAATGTCTTTACAAGGGAATATTGAAAAAACACAAACAGAGGTTTACGGGATAGAAACAGTGAAAGATCTTAAACAGAACTAAACACAGTGCTGGAGAGCTATGACCACATCATCTCAACTTCCCATTACTTGCTTCTAATAGCATATAACCCAGGCTCTTCTCTTAACTCTAGTGCTCCGAATTCCCATAAGGAAATATCACTTTTCGGAGAAGAAAAAAAAATCAAACACATTTTCCTTTATAGTCAATGAGAGGTGATGGAAAGGGGGAGGTGGAAGAAAGTAGGGTCAGAAGGTCAGGGGATCTTTCAGTTGTTTTACCCAATGTAATAAAAACCTCCTCGATGTAGAGATAGAAGATATGAAACTAAGAAGATTTCAAATGGTTGTGCTGAGCTGAATTCTGTAAATACCTTCACCAGGAAGACAACATGCTTTCAACTCCAGCTTGCAAGTTGTATTGAATAATGAATGATGTAAATAAGACCACCTTATTTATTAATAAGTCCAGTGTGGCTTATGCAACCACACTCAAAACTTAAGTCTGTGGTTCTTAAATGCATGTAAAGCACAATTCAAGGTTCTAGAAGCCCCAATGGAGGGGCTGAGAAGTAATATCAGAGTAATAAAATCCGATGCCTTTCACTGAATCCTTATAATGGATCCAGAATTTTTTTTAGTACAATTAATTGCCATGGAAAAGCTTACTAAGGTGAGAGAGCCAAAATCAATGGGTTAATGACATAACATTACAGCTGCTTAACCAAGCCAACAATAAATTGCATACAGAGGCTCTGGCAGCAGAAACTACAAATTCTATTTATGTTGTACTAAGAGGAAAAATATTAGACTGGTCTCCAAATATTAATCCAAAATCAGCAGATGTCACCAAGGAAAATTAGAAATAAAAGGTCATTGCTGGTCTTCATAAAATATGGGCAATATAAAAATGCCCTTTCACAACCATGTGAATATACTTAACACTTCTGATACGGCAGACTTTATGTCATGTGTTTCTGACCACAATTTTTACAAATCCATGACCTATTTTATATTTCAACCATACCTCTTACCACTAGGTGAGACAGAACTTGTCCTTTGCAAAGCATTTTGCCACATTCTGAGACTTAAAGGTCTGGTTACCTAACTCCAACCACAGACTTTACTCTTGAATCCCATTTATATGTGACAATAGTATTGTTCGTAAATTTAACTTAGCACTGTTTTGGTGTAACCATCTCCAAATAACAGAAGCTGGCACATACTGGCAGTGTGATGTTAGGCAGCTGTGATGTGTATCTATAGACAGATGTAGATCTAGACAGGGGTCACGTTAGTGGGTAAAGAGTATGAGACAGACACTGTGAAGGGGAGATTTTTAATAAAATAGGTTCAAACAGTGACTGAAAACGAAATGTCAGCGTGGCTTAAAATATGCATATAGAATCAAAAAATAAAATCCTCTCCCTTAATTAGTCTATACATATATTTGTAAAATGTTCTACCACAGGCTCTCTCTGCACCTTAAAAGGCACAATGGTTGTGCTTTCCCCCCCCAAAATATAGATATTAAAAGATTTACTATTTTTAAATGATAGGGCAAACTGTTGTTTCAGCAAGTTCTAATCACGGTTTATTTAGTTACATCGGTCCTATTTTTAAAAGATAGAAACATATGATTTCAGCTAAACTCCATTAAACTAGAACTTTAAAACAGGTTATTTTAGGAATACCATTGGGTCTAATAACAAAGTTAAAAAAAAAAGTGTAATTTGGTTTCAACTGCAGCTGGTATCCACTGGCCGAGAATTTAAAAGCTGTTTAAGCAAATATTAATATGTAAGAAAGACAGCACAGATGGTGCCATATAAGGATGAGAGTGAAACAAGCCCTACCACTGATGTCACTTTGATATCAAAGCAGCAAGATTCAAAATAATTATACAAAGTGCTCTCCAAACAAAGATTTCAATACATTCTACAGATAAAGACACTGGGACACAAACTGCCCAGGCTCAAATAAAGCTGAGGGGATGAGCAGACAAAAGTACTTTTTCTCAGAGTTCACCCCTATCAGCCTGACTCATGTTTCTAACCTAATTCTCCATCATGAACACTTAGCCTACACACCTCTCCGTTCTATCAGTCTCAGTGGATTTTCAAATCAAAAGAAGAAAATGAGTAGAAATTAGGAGTTATGATTAGCCATTATTAAATGAATAACTGTGACAAATGCTTTGGTAAATGTAAAAAAAAAAAAAAAATTAAGCCTGAAAATAGGAACCTGCCATCAGATAAAAAAGCAACAACAATTGTGAGAACTAATACATGAAAGCTCTACTCAAGTCTGTTAATTTCATATATATCAGGCAGCTAAGGCGTAAAGTAATATTTTTGAAATTTAAAGAGAGTTTTATTTTTCCTCCAATTATGGCCTTAAAAAGTACTAAAATGAAAAAAAAATAAGCCCTAGTTTTCCTCCTTCATTATGTATCTATCACCTAATACAGAATTTATAAACAATCACAAAAGAAAACAACATCGAACTGTACACAGACACTCCCCATGGCCTCAAAATAGTCTAAAGAGCTCTGAATTCCATATGGCTTCCTCCATCTGACTACTGACACCCCATCTCATGAAAAAGACACAGATCCTGACAGAGGGCCACGGACACTTTGACCAGCCTGGCACGCTTCCACCAGCCCAAGCCAGGGCCAGCGCAGTCGGGGCCCTACCCACCCTTCCTCTCCAGCCCTGCCTCTGCCCTCCTTGCCAAAACGATTGCCATCCGAGCATCCCAGAGCCAGCCTGACAGTTGGCTGCTCCCGGCACGTCTCAGCACTGCTGCGCCGGCACGTTTCTGCTCTGTTCTGTTGTCATTGCCTTCTGCCTGAGCCTTCTAACAGGAGCATCACCAGCAGAACAAACAACAGAGACTGGGAAGGTCTCTTACTTACATTAAAAAACAGGTTGTCTCGATCAACTACGTTGGCACAACCAGGGCGGGCGTTATCCGGGGGGGGGGGGGGGAAATGCATGCGCACTCGCCAACCGGAAGGCCACAGCCCAAGCCCTACTTTCAGGGCTGCCTATCGTGGTGTCAAAGAGCCTCAAGAAAACCAGGAGAAACTTGGCCTTATAAGCCTCTATACGGATGAATAAAGTCTCATGTCAATGGAACATATAAAATGGCAAAGTCCCTGGGAGGTGGTGGGGGGGGCCAGGGAATCTCTAATAGAGGGGACAGGGGCACGCTGGAGAAAGGACTGGTGAATTCCTACTTGGTAATGGATTTGTCACAAGGCATCAGAATAGGAGGACAGAAATACATAATTCTGCTTCTCCATTCGACCAGGACAAGCTCAAGCATTTCCAGGGACCTAGGGGTCCCAGGCTAAAGGTAGCATTCATCAGATTATTACACACTGCTTTATCATCCAACTTCGTCCTGGGAAACTATTCAATGGGCGATTAAGATTTATAATCCAAATGGTCTCAAAATTATATCTCTGGGAAGTCAAGTCCAAATTAAATCAGACCAGGCTTTTAGGCTTCCAACGATCACATTTTCTCTTTTGAGCCAGTGCATTTCAACTCTCAGAACTTCTCCTCTTACAGATCATTTTCAAGGCCATCTCTGGATGCAATCTCTTAAGCAAAATCTGATATAGAAAATGAAAAGGGAAATTGGTGAACCCCAAACCTCAAAGAATGAAGCTAAGTGGGGGGACTCTAACTTCCTTCAACAGATTTTTCAAAAGTTAATTATTTTAACCTCCTTTCTCATAAATATGACTGGAACTTCTCCTAACACAATATACACAGAGCACCTTATGAAACAAAAATATCCAAAACTAAGTTATTGCATATGGAAAGCCTAAAGCACACCCAGCAGGGCTTTGAAATATAAAGTGCATAGGAATATAATATAGTAGACATTTGGAACATTTTAAATTGTCACACTTCTCGTGTCAGCAGCCCCAAGGCAGTGAAACAGGTAACTGACAGATGGTCCAGCCCTGCACCTCTCACCTCTGACTTCTCCCCAGACTTGAAACAACACTCATGCCCAGGACGGACCCGCCCGGCCAGCCCCGGCCCTAGAGGCCAGGAGAGGAGGAAGGAGGGAAAGCACCAGCAACTCACATTTCGGTGATGTTCTCGGGGTCTGCACTGGTAGACTCCAGCCTCGGAAATGCCACGATGCCAGGAAAAGGGTCGCTGCACCAGATCCGAGAGGCGCTGCATTTGCAGGATGTGGGACAGGCAAGAGCGGCCCTCCAGAAGCCCACGACCAGCCAGCAGAAGCCCCAGAGCTGCGCCATGGCGGGCCCATGCCACCTCGTCCAGGACGACATTCCTAGCCACCAGTGCCAGCCCGAGTCAGACTGAGTACGTGTCCCTGCGCGGCACCGGTCGGCCTCCCCTGCCGGTGCTGGGTGGCCTTTGCCCCGCTCGCCGCTGTCTCCTCTTGGTGCTCGTCTCAGGGGTGCAGAGCCGAGCGTGTCCGGGGTTGAGCGTGTCCTGGCGGACGGCACCGTTCACAGTGGCAAGGGCATCCCGGGCCTCCTCACAGGGGGCGCTACCGCCGCTCGGGGCTCCGCCGCGGCCGCCGCTGCATGGCCCGGCGAGCCGAGCACCGGCCCGCGGCGCTCCCGGGACGCTCTGGGGCCCAGGCTCCTGGCTAGACTCGCGCTGAGATCCGGGACGCACCTCGGGGCTGAGGACAAACAAACACGCGTAAGACTGAGCTGAAGACCCCATACACCACGAATTGGGGTACTCTCCCTCCGCGCTCGCGTCACCCCCACCCCGAGCCCAGCCGGGGACTGTGGATGGATGAGTGCCCAGCTCCGGCCCCAGGAATAAACTGGCTCCTCGATGGCACTGACGCCGCGGGGCCTCCGGTGTGCTCACTCTTTCCCTGAGCCTGAGGTTGAGGGAGGGGAAATAGGGCAAGGGTCCCCGCGACAGGATTCCATGACACGGACCAGGGGGAGGACCCTTTAAAGGGAGACGCGGAGACTGCCAGGGACGATGGTTCCGCGACGGGGCTCCCGAATGATGCTGCAGAATCCGCCACGGCCCCTGGGCGCAGGGGGCGCGGGCAGGTGGCGCGGCGCGTCCCACCTGGGGAGCCGCCGCGGCCGCCCCAGCGGGGGGACAGTGAGGGCCGAGACGACGGAGGGCACTGTCCGCGCTGCTCACCCGGGCTCTGGCACCTACCGCCCGCCGGCGGCGCCTGGGTCCAGGCTCCTCCTGCCGCTGGGCACGGAGCTCGGAGAGCGCGAGCGAAGGAGCGAGCGAGGCTCCTGCTCCAACCCAATTCCGGGAGCCGCCGCCGCCGCCGCCGCCGCCTCTGCTACTGCTGGTGAAGTGACGTGAGGGCTGACGCAGAGCAGGGGCAGAAACTCCAGAAAATTAGTCTGAAATCCAAAAACACACACGCTCATACACACACAAACCCATAACACCCTCCAGACAAAAGCAACAGGGAGAGGAGGGGAATCTGGGGGCGAGCAGAGAGGAGGGAAGCATCGGTGCCACTGGCCAGAAGCAGACAGCAGCAGCATGTGGGAGTTCACACACGCGCACACCCGCACACAGCCCGGCCGTATAGACGCGCGCGCCTGTGTGTGCTTGTGTGTGCGTGCATTTAGATCCAGGTACCTCTGAGATGAACCGTTGCTCCGCTCTGACGCCTCCCAGTCCCTACACACCACGGTCTCTTCTAATAACGCAGTAGAGGCCGTCTCCTTTTTTGAAATGGAAACCGGTCTCGGTTCAGCTCTGAAAAATGCGCTGATTCTTATTATAGGAATCCTCCCTCCCTTCTCCCTCCAGGCTGCATTCTCCTTTCCCATCCTGCCTAAAAGGGAGGACGAGCTATCCTAAAAATAAATAAATATTGTAAACACCAAAACGTGTCCAGCATTGGTAACCAAGGATAACCGCCCCCATTCCGGGCAATCTATTTGGGGATCGGTGTTTTTGGAGGGTCTTCCTGTTTGTGCTTTGGCAGAGGAAGGGGAGTCTCCACACGCAACTCTAGCTCTCTAAGTGGGTCTTTTTCTTGCTGTTTTCTGGCATCACACGCCCGGGAAACAGAGACATGTGAGGGAAAGGGAGCGCGCCTGACGCGTATTGGGTTCCCTAAATGCGCGGCAGCAACCCTGGCCTGTCCGATGTGTGGCGCCGCGTCATTTTTTCTCATCCTTCAACCTGTCAGGATGAAGCCATTCCCAGATCTTAGCTTCATTCCCCGCGATGCCCACCCCCACGCGGGGCACCCAGAGCCCTTGCTCCCCTGCCGTACCTTGCGCCTTTTCGTGTGTGCGCGGGTGTGCGCGAACGCGTGCCCTGCGCCCGCGCTGCCCGGAGCACGTCATACATCCAGCTACTGAGAAGCCCGGCGCGGGCAGAGCCTCGGGATCTCACTAGGGACAAATGAGGCGATCCGGGAGGGTCGGGTGACAAACCGTAACTGCTCTGCGGGCGCAGTTAAATGATGGCTGCGGGGCATTCGCAAGCCTTGTCTGAGAATCCGTCTTCCCATTTGCGGCTCGGAGAGTCTGTTTTTCCGCAGTCATTTGAAAGGGAACTGGGAAAATGCACCGCAGTGCCTCACACTTCCGAGGGCTCTGGTGCCCCCGCGCGGGAAGAGAGCGCCCGGCACGCTTGGGAGCACCAACCCACTGCCGCGGCCGCGCCGGGCACTGCGCGGGGGGCGCGCTCTGGCTCCAGATGCGCAACCGGCGGCGCCCGACGCGTGCGCGCCCCTGCCCGACTCGAGCTCCGCTATCCAGTCCTCGCCTAGCTTCCGCCCCGGGAAAAGGCGGGCTGCCCTCCGCGCGAAAAAGGGCGACGGGATGGGATCTCATCCAAAAGATAAGAATGGTCACCAATCTGTCCGAAGATGCTTGGGGTGGGAAGGATCGAGAACCCCGAACGTCAAAGTGAATGCTCACATCTCGGCAACGCCTTAAATATTACAAGGGAACTGAGAGCATTTAGTGGGGCTTTTCGTACAGACCCTGGGCGCTGAGTGTAAGCGGGAATCCTTGCGCAGCATCCAAAAATCTCGTTGCAGGGCGGGAGGACAAGGCCAGTAGGCCTTCCTCTCTCCATCATCACTCGGCTGTGACACGCATTGGATGCTGAATGGCCAGACTGAAGTTCATTTCTAGCTCGGCCCCTGCTGGGTGAGGATGTGCCAAAGTAGGGAAGCCAAGGGCAAAAATGTCTTGGTCCAGGTCATACAATAACACTCCTCCTCCTGCCTTGCTGATGTCCTTAATGGAGCTGCCCCTGCGGAACACCTGGGGGAAGAGTGTATACAGAAATACCCACATCTCTCTCACACCTCCACTCTCATCCCATTTTTCCCAGAAATGGCCCATTTGCACCCTAGTGGCTGCAAACTGTCAGTGCAACATCCAAAGGACAGTTTTAGAGTGGTGTGCAGACCAGAAGATTCTAATTATGTTGGGATATCTTTAGAATTTGTATTATAATAGATATATAATACTATTATATTTAGATTCTAAATATGCCCCCACTGAATTTCTCTCACTTAAAATTAAAACTGGCGGCCTCACTTCTAATCACCCTTCCCTTCCTGCCCTGTTTCTTCTATAGTACTTACCATCTTTTAACAGATCATTTACTTATTATATTTACTATTTATTGTATCTCTCCCAGTAGAATGTAAACTGCATGAAAGCAAGGATCTTTATTTTTTCATTAACACATCTCAAGGATGTAGTGGGTATTAAAATATACGTGTGTGTTTAATGAAATAAACTGAGGTTGAAATTCCTCAAATAGGCCATCCACATTCTCACTTTCTTTGTTTTTCTTTTCTTTTCTTTTTTAAAAAATATTTATTTGTTTATTTGTCTGCATCGGGTCTTAGTTGGCACCTGCCAGATCTTCATTGCTGCATGCAATGAAGCAAGCTCTTCCTTGCAGCTCGCTGGGCTGCTCTCTGGTTGTGGCACGTGGGCTTAGTTGCCCCAGGACATGTGGGATCTTAGTTCCCTGACCAGGGATGGAGCCCGTGTCGGGGAGCTAAGAAGGCAGATTCTTAACCTCTGGACCACTAGGGAAGTCCCCACATTCTCACTTTCTTAACCTCTAACCCTGCAAGTCTACCTGAATGATTGTCCCTGGACACCTTCCTTCCTGTCTCCACAATCTTCCCTGTGCTGTGAAAACTCACAGCATTTCTTGAAGCCTGACTTTCTGCCTTCTCTACTGGCCAGGTATGTTCTGGCACTAGGTCAGGGAAGGCTTCCCTCTGGTTAAGGCTGGTACCTCAACATTTTCATGCACAGTGCCTGAAACACACTGGGCAATCAGTAACTGTTTCTCAACCCATAGAATTATGAATCTATCTCAGTTTAAGACCTACAAGGTATTTCACAGAGATATCACGGATTCTCAGACCATGGCTTTGTAGGTGATAGTGAACATTTTTCAGGTGGACAAAATAAAACAGAGATAATTTTCCCTAGATCATATGAACTCTTCAAGGCAGAGATGGAGACTAAGTATTGCAGACTCTTGCCTGTACTGGACCATGACATACCTAGAACAATGTTTCTCAAACTATTTTCACCATGGCCTACAGAAAGAAATGCCTTTTATATCACAATCCAAGGCACACATACACATATACATATAACTAAAAAAAAGTTTCACTAAACAAAACTTATTTTCTCTTAATGCATAGAATACAATGATATTTTGTTTTCTATTTTATACGATTTCATTTTCTAATGCCTGTAATAACACAATAAATTGATTTTAACATTCAATACTGGGTTATTAAAACAGAAACAGAAATACTGCCAGTTTCTGCTTCTGACTAAGATGGAGTAATAGGGAACATTTAACCTCCCAGTCAAACCAACAACACACTGAACAAAACACCTGAAACAACAATTTTCAGGACAGTGGACACAAGACAATGAAGGCTGTGGCTCAGGGTGAGGGAACCCAGGCAGAGTCCAACTCCCTGAGTTAACGAGATATAGCTGAGAGTCCAGGGAAATCAAGGAGGGCAGAGTTCACAAGGACAGAGTAGCATGGAAGAGAGTGATGTAGTGAGGGAGCACCCCAGAGGTCTGCAGAGGGTCCCTCTTAAATATTCAGCAAAGTACTGATTAGCACATGCAGGTAATGAAACTACCTGAGGGCAGGGGAAGAAAAGATAAAAGGGAGCAGGGTCCCAGGGAGAAGGGAAACTGAAAATACCACATATCAGAATTTGTGCTCAATAAAGCTGGAAAAAAAGGCAGAAGTTAAACAAATTTTTTAGAAAAAGAATTTGTGGGATGCCACTAAAGCATCTTCAGGTATTTAGGAGGAATTCTATAGCACTAAATACCCGAAAAGAAGAAACGTTTCTAACCAATGACCTCAATTTCCACCTTAAGAAACCAGAAAAAGGAGAACAAATCAAACACAAAGTAAACAGGAGAGAGGAATGGAAAACAATGCAATAAAACAAAAAACAGAAAAACAAGAGAGAAAATCTATGAAACCAAAAGCTGATTCTTTGAGAAGATGAGTAAAATTGATAAACCTCTAGCCAGACTGACCAGAAATGAAAGAGAGAAGACACAAATTATCAATAACAGGAATGAAAGAAATGACAACACTGGAGAGTCTATGGATATTAAAGGAATAATAAGAAAATATTGTGAACAACGCTATGCAGATAAAGCTGGCAATTTAAATGAAATGAGAGATAAAAGCTAACAAAGCTCACTATAGAAGCAATAGGTTACCTGAACAGTCCTGTATCTATGTCAGAAGTTAAATTTATAATTTAAAATCTTCCTATAAGAAAACTCCAGGCCCACATGGCTTCACTGGTGAATTCCACAAAATAATTAAGGAAAAATAAGACCAGAAAATGAATAGTACCAAAATATACCAGGAAAATGAAGAGGAAGGAACACTTTCCAACTCATTCTGTGAGCCCAGCATTGCCTTGATACCAAAATCAGACAAAGACATTACAGGAAAAGAAAACAACAAAGCAATATCCCTCATGAATATAACTGCTAAAATTCTAAACAAAATTTCATCAAATTGAATCCAGCAAAACACCATACATCCAAAAACATCATGATCAAGCAAATGAATTTTAGTTTAATATTTAAAAATCAATCAATGAAATTTACCGTATTTGCAGACTAAAAAGCTAAAAATTATATCACCATTTTAAAAGACACAGAAAAAGTATTTGACCAAGTCCAACATCTATTCCTGAAAACTCTTGGCAAACTAGAAATAAAAGGTAATATCCTCAACTGATAAATAGAATCTACAAAAGAACCCTACAGCTAACATAATGCTTAAAGTGGAAGACAGAATGCTCTTTCCCAAATATCAAAAAGGAGACAAGGATATCCACTTTCACCATTTCTATTCAACATTCTGCTAGAGATTCTAGTGCGTGCAATAAGTCAAGAAATATAAATAAAAACCATCCATATTGGAAAAGAAGAATAAAACTACCTTTATAAACAAACGACATGATCTCCTACATAGAAAATCCAATAGAATCTACAAAAAAGCTATTCATATTAATAAGTGAATTATCAAGTTTGCAGGATACAAGTTAAACGTTTACAAATTAATTGTATCATATACTAGCAACAAAAAAATAAGGAATTAAAATTTTTAAATAATACTAATTACAATAGCATAAAATATAAAATACTTAGAAATAAAGCACAATATATAAAAGGAAAAATGGATAAATTGGATTTTATAAAAATTAATAATTTCTGCTCTTCAAAACACGCTTTTAAGAGAATGAAAATAAAAGCCCCAAACTGGGAGACATATTTGCAAATCATATATCTAATAAAGGGCTTGTGGAGAGTTTATAAAGAACTCCCAAAACTTAATAATAATAAACAATTTTAAAACTGTGCAAATGATTTCAACCTACACTTTACCAAAGAAGGTATACAGGTGGCAAATAAGCACATGAGAAGATGCTCAACATCATTAGTCATTGGGGAAATGCAAAGTAAAACTACAATGAGATACCTACATCTCATTGTAATTTTAGAATGGCTAAAATTAAAAAGACTCACCACATCAAGTGTTGGCGAGAATATGGAGCAACCGGAACTCTCATACACTGCTGGCAGGAGAGTAAAATGACACAACCACTTTGGAAAAGTAGAACAGTTTCTTAAAAATTGAAGCATACACCTACCATGTGACCCAGCCATTCCACTTCTATGAACTTACCGAGGAGATATGTCCACACAGCAACTTAACATGAGTATTCATGCAGCTTTTTTTGTATAGCCAAAAACTGAAACAATTTGAATATTCATCAATAGGTAAATGGATAAACAAATTGTGGCATATCCATACAATGAAATGCCACTCAACAATGAAAAGCAATCAACTATTGATACCTGCAACCATATGGATGAATCTCAGAATAATTATGCTAAGTGAAAGAAACCAGACACAAAGAGTATACCCAGTATGATCCCATTTTTATAAATCTATAGAAAATGTAAACTATCATGACATAAAACAAATCAGAGATTGCTAGTGAGGTGCAAGGAGTGGGCAGGGAAGAGCCTGAAGGAGAAATGAAATAGGGACACAAGGAAGTTTAGAGGGTGATGAA